AAAGCCCGCAGTTGCAATTTTCCCGAGCCACTGCTTTTAAGGAGCTTCTCCGAGGCTGACATTTTAAAACGATCGAAAGGCAGCCACGCTGATAGTACCTATGGGAACAATTTGGGAGATCCACGATAGATATAATGCGACCGTAGCATATATGACATTAGCATATTCACCATCGCTACCGTCCTAGCAAGGACAAGGAAGCCCTTGAAGATTTGGTTGTCATCTTTTATCACATTTTCGGTTTAAATGGTTAACTATGCTATGGCAACGTGCCTTATAGCTGTTAGACATAGAGGTTTTCTATGTAGAGTACGCGCTCATGTGAACAGTAATTGAAACACAGTTAACAGCTGAAATTGTGATAGGAGAAGTCTATCTCAAATGGGGAAAAAAACATCAGAATCCTTGTCAACTTTCACATCATGCTACAGACCTATTTAGGTGCTTCCAACTCGACTCGAAAGATGCCGAAGACATCCTATCCACTTTTGCCATACGCGGCAACAGGACCTGGAAGCTGCGAATTCTGCCTGATCCTGTTTTTCTCGAAAGGTATGGCAGGTTTTCCCGAAAAAAGTAGAGGTCGTTTAAAATATTGTCGTAACTTACTTCAGCCCTGAAAATGCAGCTCTAGTCCTGGAGCAGCGGCGTTTCTGGCTGGAAAGATGGGCAGAACTTTGTAAACGGATTGATGTCTCTCTATCCACTCAGACGCCAAATAGGGCACGTAGAAATAGTTCGAGGGGTAGCCCAACGAAAAGTCCGCCTCAAGCAAGGCGGGGTCGTGGAGCTGCGAAATAGCGGGATTCTATTATTTTGGTGGTTAGGTAATGTCATAATACTTGATTGACAAAAAAGCCAGACTTTATCGTACGGATAGGACCTGGTGGTAATTTCTCAGAAGATCATGCAAATAACTATAGCTTGTTAGTAGATAGTGTATTGCAAACTCGGCTGTCGTTGTGCCTTTTTCAGTGGTACTCGCTCTCAAATTAAAGAACTCATTTGCACTGAAAATCATTTCATGCTCATAATTGTGATAATTGTGAAGATTTATGAGAATATTGAAGCACTTTACTTGTTTTCATTGTTGATTTGGAAAGTGTTGTTGTCTGTTACAATGAAGATTTTTGAATGATTATCTCATCTTATCTTTTTTCTTGAAGGTTGTTGATTCTTGGGGCGAGATGAAAGAATGTTGTGCTTCTTTGAATTACAGAATGTAAAATAAGCAAATTGAACGAAAATTGTCGGGCGAAAGAGCGCAGGATGTGGAGAAATTTTGCTAAGAAACTGTTAGTATGGTCAATGTTAGTGAAAGTACTGCTAGTAGTATGTTACTAGTGTGTTACTATAGTTGCACTGTGATATTATGGTTCTAAAACTCCTCCCCTTCTCTTTGTTAGGATCTGGAATAGCAAAGATGCCGTTCCTGAGGAAGAAAGCGCGCTCCAATCGAACAGCTTACGCAGCTGGCGAGATTAAAGGAACCGTCT